CTTCTGGGCTTTTACTCAGAAGATGTCTCAAATCAGAACACTTCAAAAAACTAGAGAAACTGAACGGAATGGTGTGTGCCTTTCGTCACAGCATTAAGGAGGATGAGGCAGGAGGGTGCTTTGAACTCAAGAGGGTGAGAGCAGACTCGGAAGCATAGTCTGGCCACATCTTTAATTCTTTTTTTTTTTTTTTTTTTTTTTGGTCTTTTTGAGACAGGGTCTCGCTATGTAGTTCGGGCTGGTCTTGAGCTCACTGTGTAGCCCAGGCCGGTCTTGAGCTCACCGTGACATAGTGATCCTCCTGCCTCAGCCTCCTGAGTGCTGGGATTATAGGTGTGCACCACCATGCCAGGCTACAAAAGCTTTTTAATAGAGATCCCAGTTGCTGGCTCTTTGTGATATTTCCTGTGTAATCAGGGTTTTGTTTATAAATTCTGCCTGCACCTATGTCTTTAACAGTTTTTCCTATTATGGCGGGCGTGGTGGCACACAGCTATAATCCCAGCAGTCAGGAGGCTGAGGCAGGAGGATTGTTGTGAGTTTGAGATCAGCCTGGGCTACACAGTTCAGAACCAGCTGGGACTACTGCAAGACCTGTATCACTGTTTTAAAGGAAAAAAAAAAAAAAAAACTAGGTTAATAGTTTTACCTATTCTATCTTCCGGCAGATTATGTGTTTCTGTTTTAATATTTAGAATTTTTTTTTTCTGTCTGTTTGAGACAGGGTTTCACTATGCAGTTCAGACTGGCCTTGAACACACTTGGTAGCCCCGGCTCAAACTCCCAGCAATCCCCCTGCTTCCGCCTCCCAAGTGCTGGAATTATAGGTATGTGGCATCACGCTTAGCAGTATTTAGATTTTTAATCCAATTTGATTTTAGTTTAGCGCATAGTGAGAGATATGGGACTGGGTTTAATCTTCGGTGTGTGGAAAGCCAGCTTTCCAAGCGTCACTTTTTGTTTGTTTGTTGTTCCAAAACCGGGAACCGAACTTACGACCTTGTGCTTGCCAGGCAGGTGCTGTACCGCTGAGCTAAACCCCAGCCCCTACCAGCATCCCTTATTAACGAGGCTGTCTTTCTTCCAGTGAGGGTGTTTTGGTTCCCCTTGGTCAAAGATAAGATGGCTGGGTGTGATTGGAGCTGTTTCTTCATTTTTGTATTGTTCTATTGATCTCAGGTCTGTTTTTTCTGCTGTTTTTATCGCTGTAGTTTTATAGTATAATTTCAAGTTGGGTAGTGTAATTGCAAATTTCAAATGGTATGCCCTGTCTTGCCTTTGTTGCCCAGAATTGCTTTTGCTGTTCTAGGTCTCTTCTGGTTCCAAATGGATTTTAGGATTGTTTTCTGTAGTTTTGTGAGGTGTGCTGTTTGTTTGATTTTATGAGTATATGTGTATCGTACGTAGTGATTACATTCATCACAGGGATGAATAGACAGACAGAATATATTGCAACTGCTTTTATGTTTCCTTCCTCGCTCCCGTGGCAGTATCTTTTAAAAACAGAACAAAGGATTTTGAATGTTTTCAATATAAGGAAATGATAAATATTTAAGGATGGATTCAACCTGATTAATACTATACAGTGTAATTGGGCTGGTGGTGCAGGCCTGTACTCCTTGATACTCAAGAGACTGATGCAAGAAGATCATAAATTTGAGGCCAGCCTGGGCAGTTTGTTTGTTTGTTTGTTTGTTTGTTTGTTTAGAGACAAGTTCTCTCTATGTGGTTCAGGCTGGCCTTAAGCTCACTTTGTAGCCCAGGCTGGTCTCAAACTCACAACAATCCTCCTGCCTCAGCCTCCCAAGTGCTGGGATTACAGGTATGCCCCACCACACCTGGCTCTGTAGCCTGGGCAATTTAGTGAGAACATGTTTAACAAAACAAAACAAAACAACAGCAACAAGGCTGGGAATGGAGCTCAGTGGGAAGGCCCTGGATTGAATCTTCAGGTTTTTGTTTAATCTTTTTGAGACAGGGTCTTGCTATGCAGTTCAGGCTGGCCTTGAGCTCACTTTGTAGCCCAGGCTGGTTTCAAACTCGTAATGATCCTCCTGCCTCAGCCTCCTGAGTGCTGGGGTTACAGGTGTGCACCACCATCCCCGCTACCTTATTTTTTTTGAGACAGGGTCTCACTAAACTGCCCAGCCTTGCTGGAACTTTTGATGCTTCTGCCTGAGCCTCCCACAGTTCTGGGATTACACATGTGCACCATCGCCCTTGGCTAGGATGACTATTTTTAAAAAATATTCATCTGTCAGAAAAATTAATTTTTTTTGGTAGTACTTGAACCCAGGGCCTCACACACACTAGGAAAACGACATATTAGTATTTTAAAAAATTATGTTGAATAGACTGCCCTTACGAATCAGACCTTCCAGAGTAAGGCTTCTGCACAGCATTGTTAGGCCAAGAGAGAAGACATCAGCCAAGGACAAACTGGTATGTAATGAATGAAAGTCCCCGAGGACAGCAAAGGGACTTTTCAAAAGACACGGCACTGCTGCGAGAGACTGTTCTGTATTTATTTGCTGTGTTTGGCCGGTGTTTCCAGTCCCAGTTGCAATTCCCACATCGAAACTGTTCCCACCCTTCCTGTGTCCCTGGAGCTGAGCAGGCGCTTCCTGTCCTGTTGGAAATGAAAGTTAGAGGCTGGG